TCCACAACAAATGACTTTAGGGTTAGATTTCGCAACCACAAGTCTGCTATGGTCACTAAGAAAAAGACCTGTGAAGTAGCGGTACATTTTAACAAAACACCACATGATTTAAGCGATTTCTCATTCCAATGCATTGATCAAGTGCAGGCAACAGTAAACAATTCAGGTAACATCGAGAAACTTCTAATTACCAAAGAAGCATATTGGAGCGCACAGCTGTTCTCTCTGGCACCCTTCGGCTTGAATAGACGCCAAGAATTTCACTCCAAAAAAGAATAAACTATAATTAATGCGGAGAATTTTTTCAAATTGGGCGGGCATCAAAGGTCCCAGTCTCAGCGTTAATTGGGAATTTTAGTACAATTCTCGCCTTTCAAGTCGACGCTGGTTCCTTAATATTTTCAGTGGATTCGACAATTTTCCCATTTCTTTTTATTGTGATAATTTTTCGCGTAGTAATTACTGTGTTTGTTTATATGTGTCATCACGCCCTATATAAATCTATTTAAGGAATTTGTAAGTCATTGTATTACAACTAATGAAGGTCTCGAACCGAAACATTTTTTACTAAACTTTTTAAGACTTTTTATTGAGTATATGTCTTCCTTCGCTCGAAGTTGTCCGTCCTCGTGTGCCACACTACTTCTCCGATATAGAGGAAACCATCCATCCACTTTAAAACATCCTTATTATCGATTTCTTTCACACTGATTTTCTTCTTTGTAATCAGGACTATTACACTCAAGGACAAAGTCAGCCCCAACCTGACCGCCAAAACGACGACTATAAATTGTTATCTGCATCAGAAGTGGGTGGATACACTGAGCTGATGTTTGAGAGAACAACTAATACCGATGATGACCAAGATATACAGTTCGTAGTAAGTAAATGTATTTATTTACCCTAAATGCTCTTTTGTCTCTCTACTGAGCCCTGCGTTTGCGCGATGGATGGCTTTTAGGGTGTTTGATAAAAACAAAACTGGCCGATTGAGTGATTGCTTTCTCCAATTTTCCATCCCAAGCCCCTTTGCGTCTTAACACTTCAGTACACGTGGTTAACTTCAAGTTTCTGATGAGCTCCCGCTACTCGCCCTCCCTCCCTCCGTAAAAAA